TGGGGTCCTGGGATCGAGTCCCACATCGGGCTCCCTGCTCAGCAGGGAGTCTGCTTCTCCCTCTGACCCTCTTCCCTCTCGTGCTATCTCTCATTCTCTCTCTCTCAAATAAAAAAATAAAATCTTTAAAAAAAATAAAAATAAAAAATAAATAAAATTCTAGGAAATTATACCACTGCAAAACAATAAAGCCACCTTGGAAAGATCTGACCCTGGATGTGCATGTAAGCTGTCCCAACCAATCATATCTGGCCACTTATCTCTCACGGGTATATTATTAAATTTTTTAAAATATAATTAAGCAGACTGGATGTTCTTCTTAAAATATTAACAGATAGATTTCTGTCAAATTAGAAAAATATGGTTAATCCACCTTATGAAATTGTTTAGACCTACTTTTTCTTCTGTTAATCCTTTCCTTTTTTCCTTTCCTGAAAGCATTGTCTTGCGTAAAAAAGACTATACTCAACAAGTCCACCATTTGAACTACATTTTCAGGAGCATGAGATTGAAAACTAAAGGCAACTGCTCCCTAAAATGAAGCTTTGAGCTCAGATTCAGACATCCCCCTTGAACAGCCTATATTCCTTTTCAGAGGAGGCAAGGGTACATCCCTGTAACTGCCTGGGAGTGAGAATGTTGTCCTGTCCTACATATCTTTAACTCAAGTGAGAAAAGACCTTTCCCCACCTGGTTTAAGATAATAAAAGGAAAATTTCAGGAAGCCTTTCCATATATTTTGAGTACCCAGATTGTTTTTATGCCTAAATCTTCTTTAATGTTTGGAGTAAAGTATCTGTTTTTCCATTGTGAATGTCAAGTTATGATCCAAAGTTTTTTTGCTATCCTAAAGTGAAGAGAGAATGTGTGTGTGTGTGTTTATAATTTTTTAGCTACTGGTTACTAGGTGATGCTGGTATAAATTCTGCTGTGGAACTAAGAATAAATAATTAGGCTTGCCTCCCTGTGTTGGAGCTCGAACTACATTTATATATTTAATAAACTAGAGTAAGAAAATTGTTCAGTTCATTTTAGTAATATAGAAAGTAGTGGGGACTATGAACTGTAGATTGAAAAAGTCTCTTCTTTCCAGCCTTATTCTAAAATTAACCTCTGGTGGGGTACCTCGCTGGCTCGCCGGTAGAGCCTACGACTCTTGATCTCAGGGTTGTTAAGTTCGAGCCCCACATTAGGTGTAGAGAGTACTTTTTAAAAAAAATTTTTTTTAATAAACCTCTGGTCTAGACTATTCTTTGGAGGCTGGACTATTTCTACAACTTTGTTTTGAGGCCCATCTTAGGGTATATTCAGAATATGCAGGTTGTCCCTATAGTAGAATTCTAAAACTGATCTGTTCTTGAATTACCTAATTGTCTTCCAGACTGAGGAGATTTAAGGGACAATTCTAATCTTCTAGAGTTAAATTCAACCTATGAATGCCTCGGGGGCTTCTCAGTGCAGTCTTGACGGCTCTTTGTAAAGTAGAATTAGATTGGCCTCTCATGCTTAATAAAAGTATGTACACTAGTATGAAAATTGTCTGTGGCATACCATCTTATAGGTTAAGAATTGAGTTACAGAAATTGGCTTAGCAACTTGTCCTTAAATGTGACCCAGTAGAAAAGATTCTAATACAACTTTTTTTTTAACAGATAAACAGAGAAATAATCAAATTTACTTCTCAAATCACAACAAAATATTTAACTCTTTATTGGAAAATTCTGTTTGTCAAGAGGTATTTAAACTTGTCAGGATGGCCACAGCCATGGATTTATGTTTGGGTTATAGTAATCACCATAGGAAGAAGCCATAACGTAGAGGTTACAAATTGGTGGTAGCCCAGAGGCCAAATCCAACCTCAGCAGATGTATTTGGTTTGGCTTGCATGGTATTTTTTTTAATATTAATTAGATGCCAATAACAAGAGGCTTCATATGAAAGTACAGATTTCATATTTCTTTTGGAATAGAATAGATGATCTGTGGAATCAGGCTCCCAAGTTGGGTAGCCTCACTGCTCACCTCTTAAAGCAGGATATATATTTTCTAATTCATCACAGTCCCAACACTTACTACTTTTTCCAAAACTATCCACTTCATTTATTTGCTTCCTGGTTGGCCCCTTTAAGCATTTGTGTTACCAGACATGCTGTATCAAAAGTGTTATCAAATTATTGACTTTCAATTCTGCATTGTATACATTCCTCCAAGAAAAGTTAGTGATCGAGCATCAGATGTAAATTTTCTAAATAATTACTAATACAAAGGCAAATGGCATAGAACATCATTTATGTATTCAGTGTATATTGAGTTATGCACCTTATGTAAGATTGAGAAACTTTTTTCTCAAGGAGCTCAATCTAGTCAAAGATATAGACCATGTGATAGGGATTAAGGAGTGTACTTGTGATGAGCACTGGGTGATGTATGGAAGTGTTGAATTACTATATTATATACCTGAAACTAGTATTACACTGTATGCTAACCAATTGGAATTTAAATAAAAACTTTTTAAAAAAAAAGAAGCAGACCATGCCCATATTATTATGGTACAAGGTTAACTGTAGGTAATGACAGGAATTGGTGGGAGTTATGGGAGTTGGTGGCAGTCAGTCTTGACTGAGAAGATGAGGGCAGGTTTCATAATAGCAGCCCTTCAGTTGGGCCTCAGCAGTGAGTTTAGTTTCAGGAGGCCAAGACAGAAATGAACCTTGGTGCTGTAGACAAAAAGTGGTCAGGGAACTGCTAGTAATTTGGTTCAGCAAGATAATAGTATGAGATAAGGTGATAAAAGAACGGAAGTCTCTCTAGTCTCTCTATTTTAGTCTGTGGAATTTAGACATTATTTGGGAGCAGTGCAATCTTTGGAAATTTTGAATTAGAGGAGTTAACATTCTTGTAGTTCTACCTTGGAAGGTTAATCTGAAGCATTCAGTATGTAAGAAAGGCTTGCATATGCTAGCTAGCTGGTGAGCAAACAAGACTTAACTAGGATTCTTCAAATGGGTCGGATGAGAGGGAATAGAATCTACATTCAAATGGGAATATATAGGTGGAAAAATAATAAGGAGGTTAAAATTGGTGGGACTTGGCAACTGATCAGAGAGAACACTGAAACTGTAGCCTGTATTGGTAAACAATAAAAAATCCTAAACAACTTTTTACCTTATACCTTATAATTAAGGCTGATGAGTGATTACAGGCACGGGTTTGTCTGTGCCATTAGATACTCAGTTTGCTTTCATATTTCAGAGACAACTCATCATCCAAAATTTAAATACCTATTCAATTATGCTAAGAAAACAAAACAAAACTACCCACCCAGCCAAGCAATGCAGAGGAGAAACTGATTTATCAGCCATTTTGTTTCATCTCTGTTTTGTTCTTCGTTTTATGTTGGCCAAGGAGAGATAGTGACAGTCTAACCAATACAAGATGTCTTCCTCAAATAACCTAGTTTTTTTTTCTTTTTTCTTTTTTTTTAAAGTAGGCTCCCCATTGGGCGTAGAGCCCAATGCAGGGCTTGAACTCAAGACCCTGAGATCAAGACCTGCGCTGAGATCAAGAGTCAGAAAATTAATGGACTAAGTCACCCAGGCACCCCTCAAATAACCTAGTTTAAAAAAAACTGTTTTGGGGTGCCTGGCTCTCTCAGTCAGTAGAGCATCTGACTCTTGATCTCAGGGTCAGGAGTTCAAGCCAACTGTTGGGTGTAGAGATCACTTAAATAAATAAAACTTAAAAAAAAAAACTTTAAAAACAAACAACTGATGGCAAAAATAAAAAATCCTTATAAAATCACATTGCCTATCAACTAACATTTTCATGCCAGTGTTCCTGAAGACAGTCTTGTAACAGAAAAGCTTTTTGTGGTACTAGAAAAATGTACTTTTTTTTTTTTTTGTAATTCTCTGGTAACTTTGCTCTTGAGTCTATCTTCCTCAGCACATCTGAGTATGGTAGTATGAATATAAGATTCTAAGTTTAATTGGTCCGTGCTACACATTGATTTATGCTTTACAAGTTTGATATGCTGAATGCAGGAAACCTTCCAAAATAAATACATGGAAATAATTTTTTATCCCACCTGTATCAGTGACTTAGTTTTCTTATTCTGCCCTAGATACAAGTGAGGCAGTCTACCAAAGAACTTTTAAAAATAAATGAATAATGGGAATAAATAGTTGCCCTGTTTCCATTGTCTTCCAAAAATGGTAACTGGATTACTGGTAGGCTGGCAAATATTGCACATCTCTGGGGTCAAATTGGGCTGCCCTGGTTTTATGAGGAAAGCCCCAAGGTAAGCATTGGAGGTAAGATAGATATTTGATATGATAGTGATTTTAGGGATGAGAGTCTCTTAGGCATCCTCTCGCCCACTCTGCTAACACTAGAACGCAGGAACTCAGTAGTAATCCTGGATCAGTAGCATTAAAGCCACTAATAGTGGCTCATTAAATATTTGTGCTTGACCTGCTGGAGTTATTGCAAAACCTTACTGAGACCCTGGAACTCCAGCTTTATTTGTAGGTAAGTTTATGTGAAGACAGGTAACCGAGGGGAAGTGCTGCTTCTTGATTCCAAACTGAACACATCTCTTTTTGTAATATCATGTCCTTTTTTGTACCATAAAATCACTGCAGCAAGTAGCCTGTCAAACTGAACTCTGAATCATATAGTTGTTTCCAAATTTGTGTGCCCTTTACTTACTCTTTTTGTCTTTTTTTTTTGGTGGTTCTTTTTTTTTTATTATGTTATGTTAATCACCATACATTACATCATTAGTTTTTGATGTAGTGTTCCATGATTCATTGTTTGTGCATAAGACCCGGTGCTCCATTCAGTACGTGCCCTCTTTAATACCCATCACCAGGCTAACCCATCCCCCCACCCCCCTCCTTTTGAAAGCAAAATTTTTATTACAAATGTACTTCTGTATAACAGATTCTAATAAATTATTTCTCTTTAGCATACAAACGGCTAGATGGTTCGACCGAATGCTGTAATAATCACAGCCTCACGGATGTGTGCTTTTCATACAGAAATAACTTTAATAAGCGTTTGGTGAGTTGTCCCTGAAGCAGTCTTGTTTGTCTGATATAATTTTTACAAAATAATCATATAGAACTAAAATGGAATCTATGAAAATTTTACTTTTTGCTTTGTGTCGTTTTATTAAAATTTCTACATTTCACTTGTCACATTTCATCTGAGAATCTTTAACAATTTATAGCTGTAATATCTTATTTGGCTGAAGTGGAATACTTGAATCTAATTTATAGTAGGTGCACATAAATGGCATTTCTTCTATATGAATTTTGTTCCTTTTATGCTCTGTGACATAAAAGATATTAAAGAGCTGTAACTTTCTGGTTTTCTTGTTAATAAATTATTTTTAGTATTGACTAATTAATATTTTGTTCATAGCACACATGTTTACCTGCCCGGAAAGCAGTTGAAGCCACACAAGTTTGTAGAACCAATAAAGATTGTAAAAAAAGTTCAAGTTCAAGTTTCTGTATAATACCTTCTTTGGAAACTCATACTCGCTTAATAAAAGTGAAACATCCACCTCAAATTGATATGTTGTATGTAGGCCATCCACTGCACCTTCACTACACAGGTGAGTATTTATTGTGGTTGACCCTCAGAAAATCATTAAGATGCCATATATTCTCCATGGTAGAAACTCAGTACAAATCCTGTGTTAATTTTATTTATTATAAATGTGGCCACTTTTCAAAGTCTTATTAACTTGTTGTTAAGCGTTGCATGAAATTTACCATTAGGAAAATAATCTGAATTTATGAAGCAAGATGGAGCTGAATCCCATGTCTGCCTATGGAGAGTGATGTATTTTCTTTTCACCACCGTTTATGCCCAAGTCACATAGATGATTTCTCAGATGTTCTCTGAGAGTTTACTAAATCTATCCAAGCTCCCAAAACAGTGGCAAGAGCAACATACCCCAGAGAATGCCAAGAGTCATCATAAGACTATAATTTGTGTATAACACATGAATTTTATATGAATATAATTTTCAAAACTGGGCCAGCATAATTGTTTTAACAGTGGCTACATGATTGGACTAAATTGATAGCTTCTCCATATGGCTGAAGATCGTATGGTCCAACTCATTTTGTTGTACAAGAATTTTTTAAGTTCCTTTTTTTATAACAGTTGTATTGAAATATAATTCACGTACCATATATTTGACCCTTTTAAAGTATACAATTGAAGAGTTTTTAATATATTCAGAGTTGTGCCACCATCACCAAATCTAGTTCTAGAATATTTTCATCACCCCAAAAAGAAACCTCATATCCATTAAGCAGTCAGTTCTTATTTCTCCCCAAACCGCCCCCCCACCTCTTGGCAATCACTAATCTTTCTCTTTCTATAAGTTTGCCTGTTCTGCACATTTCATATAAGTAGAATATTTTGTGACTGACTTCTTTCACTTAGCATAATGTCTTTAAGGTTCATCCATGTTGTAGCATGTGTCAGTATGTCCTTCCTTTTTAGGGCCAAATATTCCATTCTATGAACATACCACATTCTCTTTATTCACTCATCATTTGATGAACATGTAGGTCTTATGTTACTCTTTAAAAGGCTCTCCCATTGCTTTATAGTCATATCCTGAGATACAACCTGGGTCATTCTTCTTATTTATTAATAGTTATAGTGATTATGATTTTAAGGTTATATCTCTTTGAAGGATAAGGACTCTTGATAAATTCTGGCATAGTTTCTAAGTCAGTCTCTGTATTTAGTAGTCATACTTGGTATATAGTCAGTTTTATCTTATTCTCACCTCCAAATATAAGTGCACACTGGGACATGAATTTCTGTATTCCACTATATTTATTAGGTGTTCTAGAATAATTGTTTTTATATGTGGGGCATATAGGCTGCCTGCATATGTCTGGGAAGGGCTTTCTCAACCAATTTAATAGGCTAGCCTAATTTTTGACCATATGGAAAAATTTTTATAATACTGTTGCTTATCTGTATGAACAATATTCATTATTCCTTGTTTTTCTTTTTTTAGTGAGCATCACCAGTTTTATCCCACGTTTCAACTTTCTAAGCATAGATCTGCCTGTGGTTGTGGAGACATTTGTCAAGTATCCTTTCTGGTGTGAAGAATGTTTTTAAAAGTGTTACTTGGAACATGATCAGGCTTACCTTGAATAGAGCGTGCATAGACCTTACAAGTACCTATTGATTGCTAACAACTAAGAAGGAGACTTTAAAGTTGAAAAAGATCAGATTGTACCCAGGAGGGAAGAAGTCATGGGAGAGAGATGGATCGGGGAAGGAGAAAAGTTAAGATATGGAAGGAAGGGAACCCAGACTATAAACTGAGAGTTGAATTTACAGATCTAAGACCCTTTAGTAAGTTTATAAAGAATGAAAGCATCAATTACTACCACGGTGATGAATTCTGCCCCTTCTGAGCCTGTTAGCTCTGACTAAATGGAGGAATGATTAAGGGAGATCGAACTGGTTTCCACTATTAAAATAGCAATTCAGAGGACAAAATCTTGTGTTCTTTAGCATATTCAGTTTGAATATAAAACTTGGTTTTTTAAAATTCATCATTATGAAGAATCTGAACAAACCAAACAATTTGTAAGGGTTCTTTATTTTTGTCACTTTTTTTTTTACTTTCTAGATTTTAAGTTTATTTCTAAGCATGGATCTTTTTGTTTTTTTAATTCCAGTGTAGTTAACATTACAGTGTTGTATTCGTTTCAGGTGCACAATACATATTTTTGTCGCTTTTAAATCATTTTCATTTCCTTCCTCAATAATTTGCAAAAAAATGAAAGGGAAAACAAATGAGCAGCTACTGAAAAATATGTACAATCAAGATTGTACCTTGTGGATTATACCTTTGTCTCAGAGATTTATGATAGACATAAACTTATAGATGATAATAAAATAGAGTGATGTTATATTTATGCTATAACCTTATAGATAATAGTAAAATAGAGTTGAAGCAGCCAAAATCTTTATGTTTCCTAAGATAAGTTAATACTCTGTAAGGATCAAAAAGTGATTTTCCCTTATTTCTAATTGCTTCCACATTCCTTTCCCTCCTTGTGTCATTAGAGGATTACAAAGACTCCATCTTTCTCTGAGTTTGTTATAGATTGCCTTAGTTTATAAACGGTTGTCCTTTATTTTTCTAGTCAAGGTTTTTGAGCTTTGAAATAATATAAATAATTTGTTTGAAACAGTAGAGATCTGGGGTGCCTGGGTGGCTCAGTCAGTTGAGCGGCCAGCTCTTGGTTTTGGCTCAGGTCATGGTCTCAGGGTTGTGGGATCAAGCCCCTCATGGGGCACCTTGCTCAGCAGGGAGTCTGCTTCAGGATTCTCTCTCTCTCCCCCTCTGCCCCTCCCCCCTGCTCACCCATGCACCCTCACTCACTCTCTCTAAAATAAATAAATAAATAAATCTTTTTAAAAATAAATAAATACCAGGATCTAAGAAGGAATATCCTGTACTGGTGGGCAGAAATTTAAAGAAAGGAGGGAAGTCAACTATGATCTCAAATGCAGTCCTAGTAAAATATCTTCTTCTGACTATTAGATATGTGTTTTCCACTCAGACTTCACAGTTGGCTCCTTAACTCATTTTAACCAGGTACCTGATTTCCCTCTCAGGAGCTCTAGCTATTGTTAATGCAGTGCCCTGCTTTGCTTTGGATGGTCAGTGGATTTTAAACTCTTTCCTAGATGCTACCCTTACCTCAGTGATTGGAGACAATGATATCAAAGATCTGATAGGATTTTTCATCTTGCTTGGTGGTAGTGTACTTTTGGCTGCCAACGTGACCCTGGGACTCTGGATGGTTACAGCACGGTAATATTTGCACTCATCTTGCAGAATGATACTTCATATGAAATAGAAAGCATTTCCTTAAAATTATATTTAAACCAACGACTTTAAGCTCCTCCTGTATCAGAATATCCAAACTCTGGGATGGGGGATAAACAGAAGGAATGAAAGGCATAGTCTCTGACTACATCCGACTTTTAAAGACTGAACTTAGCAAACTTCAGATGCTTGTGGAACAATTTCTAAACAAGTGAAAATTCATGTTAAACCATTTTGTGTGACTACATATCATATTGCAGTAGTGTAAAGGAGACCTGAATTGGGTGGAATTAATCGGGGAAAACTTTTTGAAAAAGCATCATTAATCCAGATTTGAAGAAGACCAGACTCTGGCCAAGTGGAAGGGTGAGCATTTTCTTGGCCTATATCTCTTGTCCTTTTTCTTAGTTTGAAAAGTATTTTAAGATTTATTGGTATATTATTTTGTACTCTGACAACTGAGGTCTGATTACAATTAATAAAATTCTATAAAAGAATCTGCTAACATGAAAGGGAAAATCTTTGTCAAATGATACCAAATAAGTGAACAAAGTAGGAAGTAGGGCTTACAATGATAAATGCCTTGCCCCACAAGAGTTGCCTCTTTGATAATACGCTCCTAAAGCAGCACTGTGTTCTGACATTCAGACTGAGCTACAAGAAGTATCTTCCACTTGCAGCATGTGAGTTGAGGAAGTTAAAGTTGAGCGTGAGAACTGAGCTTGGTCTTCTAACAGATCACGAGACAGATCTGCTGCAGTCCTGGTTACCATTCTCTACAGAGCTTTGAAGCTCAGAACCTTTCCAGGGTAGACGTTTTCTCTGTGCTGCTGGGGTTATCTGGGGCCTAGGTCCTGGGTTCCTGTCTTCAAGGAGCAACTACCTTAAGCTCTCAACCATACTCTGTCCTCACCAGCAGCTTCTATGTTTCTCTGTATTGAGTAATTAAACACCTAGTCCTTGTTTTCCATCTTTCTCCTAAGCTACCTCTGTGGGTCCACAGAAGACTTGGTAGTACAGTGAGAATGGCTACACATGAGTACAGATGTGGATTTGCCAGAGCCTGGGAACTGACTCTTGAGCCCAAAAGAGCCCTGAGTAGTTCGAGGTCTTTTGGACTGGAGCTGGAGCCCTGGAAGATCCAGGAAGTCACCAGGCCACTGTGAACTCTTGGTCTTCTAAGTGTCTGAGCGTGCTGTTTTTTGATGAAAAATATGTGCTTCCCTCATACACTCAAGAACGTTAACAACTGTGTACCCAACTTTTTCACTAAGTGAGGCATTCCATGGGGTTCACCTTTTTCTGATCATTGAGCTGCTCTTCAGGCAATAAAGGTTTTTAATCATTTTTAAGAAACTCTTTAGACTGTATGCAAGTTTGCCTGCCTTCTTAAATAGAAATTATTTATTGAATATAATGTTAAGATTTTATTAATGACTTGAGGTCATCATTTAAACCATACAAATTATTCATTTATCCCAGAAAAAAGGTGGTTGTTCTGTTCTTAGGTAGATAGTCATTCAGGATCAAAGTCTTAGCAGAGAGCTCAGACCTGTTTAGGTAGTAGAGCTTGGGGAATGCCATGAAATACTTGCATAATTAATTTGATTACATGAACTATGCAGTTTACTAATGAATATGTCGTATATGTGCAGATCAGTTTTTTAAAACAGAGAAGAACTTAAATAGAGGAACTCCTACCCATTAACTTTTTCTGGGTGGAAAAAACAACAACAACTGTAACAACAACAACCAAACACCTCATTTTCTTGTAGCATTTGAACATCTTGGTCTCTTGCTTCATAGGGTCAGGCTTTGAGAACCACTCTTATTAGGATAATGAGCAGATCAGTCGCATTTGTATAGAAATGGCCTCATCATGTAAAAAAGGAAATGTTGTCATCTCTTCAGCTTGATTGTGGGCACTTCTAGAGCAAGGACCATGCCATACTCATCTTTGCATCCCTGGCACAGTGCATGAGACATCATAAATACTTAAACGTGGTTGAATGGATGATGAATAGTGGTATTTATGGATTAGAAAAGCATGTTTCTATTTAAGTAAGCTATGAATAGTACTATTGAATATTTACTGTAAATATATGTTAACAAAAAAATAACTTGGAAGGTCTTTGTGTCCCTAGTATATTATTATCTTCATGAAAATAATCCATTTTGGTTACTGTAGAGCAATTAGAAAAATGAATTACTTTGAGGATTTGAAGAAAATGTGCTTTCTGTGTTGTCATGTTCAACAGTACAACTTTACTTTCAGTGTTCCTACTCTATGTTGTTTACATTTTCAACAGTTTTTTTTAAATCACCTACAATATGTAAAGAACGTATATATTCTTTTCATCTCAGTTTGAAAAGACATGCGTTAAACTTGACCTTTTGTGATCGCTCTTATAGGGTCATTGTCTTCTATTCTAACAGCAAATTTTAAACAAGCACTTCATGGATACATGGCTTTCAGTCATCAGTTTGTCCTATGGTATTTATTGAATGTCCACATACTAATTGATGGTGCACAGGTATTTTTTTCTACAGATCTTTCGACTGTGCTGTAATTCATTCTTAGTATTCAAGTTGAAGATACCATAGTTGCTGGCATTTGATGTTTAGCAATAAAAGAATAAATGTGTACCAGCACTCTATGTTTTATCATATTTATGTGTTGTCTGTTTTAAAAAAACTATTCTATCAAAAGTGTTCCCTTTACATACAGTATGATCTTTGTTGTTTTAAATTCTTGTTTCTAAAAGCAGCCTTCACTTTTTCACTCAAGCAGTCCTTATATGAAAGTTACTGCCGGCCACAGAAAGAAGCCTTTTTTTTTTTTTTAAGATTGTATTTATTTATTTGAGAGAGAGAGAAAGTGAGAGAGAGCACAAGCAGTGGGGAGAGGGAGAAGCAGGCTCCCCACTAAGCAGGGAGCCTGACGTGGGGCTCAATCCTAAGACCCTGGGATCATGACCGGAGCCGAAGGCAGACACTTAACTGACTGAGCCACCCAGGTGCCCCAAAAGAAGTCTTTTTTAAATAAGATTCCTGAGCTCTTACTAGTGTTTTGGAAATGGCCTGTTTATGGATGAAGAAAGAGGACTATCACGTTTCCTTTCAATAGTGTCTGACAGAAGTCTTCTCTAAGTTAGTCTGTTTCTTAGGAATTCATGGAAAAGTATTTCAACTCTGACATTTGGTTCGTCTTGACCTTTTGCTCTAGCGCTTCCTCCCTTGTCCACAGGGCCAGCCTCAGTCTCTCTCCCCCTCCCACTCTCTCTCTCTTTCCCTCTCTGTGCCACCCCCCCCCACACACACACACAGGCACATAATCTCTTTCTATAGATTACTGGATTTTAGATCCAGATAAAATAGGCTGGAAATTTAGCCCAAATCCTGATTGGCTAGCATCATTCCACGCCGCCTTTTTGCCTCTGACCCCATTCTACTACAGTTAAGAGCCACAAGACTAGATGACTGATTATCTAAACCACTTTTTTTTAGCAGCTTGAGATAGAATTAAATACCATAAAATTCACCTGTTTAATGTGTACAATTCCACTGTAAACTCTTTTTCTTTTAATGACTACTCAAACAATAGCATACATAGGCTTTAGTATAATCTAACCTTTTAAGCAAATGAGCATGTGATAAAAGACTGGAAAGAAAGAAAATGTTTCATTTATTTCACAGCTTTTAACTCTGAAGTGGTTTTCAGTACTGGAATAGAGTTGAATAACAAATCATTTTTAAGGTTAAGCATGTAGAGGGGCGCCTGGCTGGCTCAGTAGAGCACGCAGCTCTTGATCTTGGGGTTGTGAGTTCAAGTCCCATGTTGGGTATAGAGATTACTTAAAGATAAAATCTTTAAAAAAACAAAAAAAGGTAAAGCATGTGATTGGCACCTTGGGTGGTTCAGTCGGTTAAGCATCTGACTCTTGATTTTGACTCAGGTCATGACTCAGGGTTGTGAGATCGATCCCCATGTTGGGCTCTGCACTGGCTGTGGAGCTTGCTTAAGAGTCTTTCTCTCTTCCTCACCCTCTGCCCCTCCCCCCCCCAAAAAAGATAAAGCATGTGGATATATTTTCTTTGAGACAATATGCCTTTTTAATCGGTGTATTTGCAAGCTACTCTTGCTGTTTTGGCCATACTAATTTGAATAATCCATTGTATATTTTATCAGACCATGGCAAATGAATTCAATGAAAGGAAAGTCTCTATTTCAAAACCTAATACCACAATAGATTATACTCAGGGTGGAGGTAGGGAAAAAATGGTTAAAGGAAGCTGCAATTCTAATTACCAAGCAGGTTATATTGCCTAATTTCCCATTGAAGAGAGACAAAAATATCCTTATAGCTTAGTTTTATTTAGCTAAAGATTGAAGGATATTCAATAATTGTCCCTTCTTATTAACTGACCATTTCTCAAACTTTTCTACTGATGTGCTCCTGACAACTTAGAGAAGGGAAAAACTCAGAAAGATCTAAGAGTAGAACCCTGTAATTGGCTTCCATCCTACAAAATTGAAGTCTTGCTTTATCTTAAATTTATGTAAATTTTACACTCAGTCAAGTATCATAAAGCCAGTTCTCTTAAAGATATGAAACTCTAAACTGTGAAAGAATTAGATGCTAAGAATATTAATATTTTTTTCATGTGTCCCTAAAACACATTGGTAGAAGTAGTTTATAACAGCTGGTCTGTAGACTAGTGACAGTCTATGATGGTATTTTTGTCTATTTCTAGTGAAATGAGAAAAATATGTTATATCTAATTACAAAATAAGGAAAATGTATTTGTGTTGTTATAAGGTGCCTGCTGTCCTTTATCAAGAAGCTCTCCTTTATTTGGATTATGGAAACACATACATAAGTTCACTTAGCCCTTCTAGATTGCTCTGCAGAATGTCTCTCTAACTGACCCTCATCAGCAAGGCATTAGGGTTCCATATTTCCCCATGCCCTTACCTCCACCTGAATTGTCTGACTTTTCATTGGGTGCAAAATGGCATTTCCTTTTAATTTGCATTTCTCAGATTAATAAAGTTGCGCATCCATATACTTGTTTAGCCGCTTAGATTTTTTGTTTTGCCAGTTGCTTATTGATACCCTTTGCCGGGTTGTCCATTGAGTTTACTAAATTCTTCTTATTGATCTGTAAGAATTTTTTGTATATTCTAGATTAGGAGTCAACAAACTGTAGCCTGCAAGCCAAATCCTGCTCACCACCTATTTGTGTAAACAAGGTTTTCTTACAACATAGCCACATTCAGGGGCGCCTCGGTGGCTCAGTCTGTTGAGCCTCTGACTCTTGACTTTGGCTTAAGTCGTTATCTTGGGGTCTTGGGATCAAGCCCCTCTTTGG